TCAGAAGTAGGGAGAATGAAGACATGAGACTTTTCGAACACAATCCTGCTGGATTACCGTTCTGTGTAGAGTTTTACCACAAAATGTGATTGACTTTTAAAACACAGTAACTTGATGGCTTGTGTGGTCGTTTGTAACTTGGAAGATGTAAAGAGCTGTGCGAGTGCGGAGCCGGACGGCCTTTTCAGACCGGCTCGCTGAACCTGCCTTGTCCAACACACGTCAGCTTTCGTTACAACTTTGTTTAGGATTGCCTGCAGGGGGCTGTATGAGTCTAATTAATATGGATATTACGTTGGAAACTTTCTTTCATTTTTGTTGTAAATAACTTGACACATGATAACACGTGTCCTGATTTGCTGTAGATCTGGGATGGAGTCAGTAACCGGTGCATCGCAACATTTGAACAGGCACACCAGGGTGGAGAGGTGAGTTATTTACAGACACACCATTGTGCACAGGTTAGTTATGTACAGGCATACTAGGGTGGAGAAGTTAGTTTTGTGCAGGCACAGTAGGGTGGAGAGGTTAGTAATGTAAAGGAATTTGCGAGACTTATTTGTTCATATTGCTTAAAACAAAATCACTGTTGTTGAAAATTGTTGCGCACTGAGTCTACTTTGCCAAATAAGGGTCTAAAAGTCACAGCGTTTTCACTCTTGCCTCTCTCTATTCGTGAACTGGTCCACTTTGCCTCTAATACTCCTTTTATGGCCTGATCCAGGCGTTCAGAAATAAAACTAAGCGAAGTAGTAAGTCATGTAAATGGCGCGATAGAAGCGGTAGAGAGAAACGACGGAGGCTTGGGTCGAGTCACCACCCGCCCAAACCTCTCTCTTTTTTCCACTCCTCCGCTACTATTGCCCTTCGTTTTGCTAACTTAAGGCCTGGATCAGGCTAATCTTCTTACAAAGATGGTTTTCTATGTTGCAGGTGTATTCTGTTTGTTTCTCTCAAAACGGAAAGGTAAGGAGAGAACATAATGATTTCTTTACTTAGTTCGTTTGCACTTCATATATATTTTTTTCGACAACAAAGACTTACTTTAAAGCTAGTGGTTTTATTTCATCTTTTGTTAGTGTAGCATGTTCCAAACATTGAGGAAGTTAAACGAAGCGCGATAAAGAACGGCGCCATAGTCGCGGAGGAGTGGAAAAACGAGAGAGGCTTGGGTCTGACACGTAATGAACCACTCGACCCAAACCTCCCACGTTATTCGCTCTGCTGCCGTTGTCGCGCCTGACGTTCACTATTTTGCATGGATTTCGTAGCGTTCACTTCCTAAAAGCCTGGAACATGCTGGTGTTAGTGCCTAAAAATGACAAAGATTTGACGTGTTTTTCGCTCAATACTTTTTACTCTTGCAGTATATAGTTTCAAGTGGAAAAGATTCTCGTGTGTACCTATGGGAACTCTCAACTGGTAAAAAAATTTCAAAACGATAAAATTTTACTTGTTTCTATTTTATTTTGTTTTCTAGTGTGATTTTACCTTACCCCTTAAACTCTCAAGAGTGACCGGCTTCTAAATTCTCCATACAGTATCATCCTTGAATCAAATGTAAATGTCATGAGAATAATGGTAATGATCACTAATGCAAAAGACTCCTGATGGTCAAACAAATTCTCCTTGGCATTACTATGGGAAATACAAAGAGAACAGTATGGAGAATATGAATGCTCATGTAATGGTGTCAACGGTTAACTTTTCCATAGAGTACAGAATGTGTCCTCAGTTCAGCATCAAGATGCTAAAATTTCAACAATCGGTTATTTTCCAACAAAGACTGTTTTTAACTCGTTCAATTTCGTTTTTAGGGAAGGCTCTGAGCATGTACATAGGCGCCACAATGTCAAACTACAGGACACAGATTGTTTTCAACCACACCGAGGATTTTTGTGAGTCCGCTTTGATGATAATTGTTGTTCTTTGGGTTCTATCGTGAAAGTGCTGGAGACGTTCTAATGAGAGGAAGGGGGAAGCCTATTACAGAGAGGGAAATATGAGAGAAAGAGGCTTATCAGGGAGGGGCACTTACTAAGGAGGGGGAGCTTATTGGAAAAGGGGAGCTTGTTAGAGGGAGGGTCTCATAGCCAAATTATAGGGGTACCTACTAAGGAGGGGAGATAATTAGTGAAGGGGAACTTGTTAGAGGGAGGGTCTCAAAGCCAAATTATAGGGGTACTTACTGAAGAGGGGAGATAATTAGAGAGGGGGGAGCTAATTAGAGAAGGGGAGCTTGTTGGAGAAGGAGAGCTTGGTAGAGGGAGGGGTTTATAGCCGGAGAGGGGAACCTGCTAAGGAGGAAAGGTAATAAGAGAGGGGGAGCTTATTAGAGAAGGGAAGCTTGTTAGGGAAGGGGAGCTTGTTAGAGAGTGGGGCTTAAAGACATGATAGGGAGGGGGTGTGTTAGAGAGGGGCTTATGTCATATGAAGCTATTAGGAAAAGGGTTCACTAGATAGGGAGGTTTATAAGAGAGGGGGGGGGGCTTCTAGAGAGGGGGGTTATCAGAGGAGAGGACTATTTAGAGAATGGGCTTACCTGAGAGAGGGCTCATTTGGGAGGGGGTTCATTCGAGATTGGCCCATTAGAGAGGAAGGGCTTAATGGAGCGTTACGATTTTGTGTTTTGCTAAATTTTTAACTTACTCAACTTTAATAGTGATTGCCGCCGACGAATCGAATAACAGTATAGCATGCTGGGACACGAGGTCAACAGAGCTGCAAAAAACTCTTAATTCAGGTATAAATAAAATTGGTTTTCTTGTTGCTATGGAAAGTATTGCGATTTAGTTGTGGTTTAGAGATCGGTTTGCATGTCTTTATTTTTGTGTCACACATTGAATAATAACCTTCCACAACCAAAAAAAAAAAACAATCATAGTTTCGTGTTTTGCAGTTGCTAGTGTAGGATTGTGTGTATAGGGGATTTTATTATTCAAACTTAGCTTGTTTCGCTTGCTACATCTCAAAATCGAGATGGATCACGGCGATATTTAGCAGTAAAGTTGTTTAAAGATTGCAGTTGGTTAACATGCGCGAATTGAAAGTTGTAACCTAAGCGCCATGTGGGAGTAAAATCGCCGATGTCAGCTTAACGGGATTTCGTTTTAATTAAGACCGCGTTCTGCAACGAGCGCACGTGATAAGTTGGTTCTTTCCACGTGCGCCACGGGCTTTCGTTTATATAAAAGCCGTGTTGTGAAACGAGCGCACCTGACAAGTTCGCTCATATCATGTGCGCCCCACAGGACGTTGAACAGACGGGCGAAGTGAAACTACGAAGGTGAAACGTAACTCTGGAACTAGGACTGAATGCGCTAATATTCCATTTGTATACGTTTTCTTTCTTTAGGTCACAACAACCACATTCGCTGCATCACCCACTCCCCTACAGGAGCAGCGTTTGTCTCGTGTAGCGACGACTTCAGGGCGAGGTTTTGGTACTGTGAGGGAGTATAGAGAATTCCTCCACCGATTGCATTGAAAGCTTAGAATTCGTGTCCATTACGCCGATCTTAAACGCAACTATAAAGCTAAAGTTACAACCTCAATCTCTCCCGAAATCGTCTCAGAGTTTCAGCCTCCTAGGTGCTTTACCTGTCATCTTAACTTGGATAAACTCGTTCGGCTCTGTTTAATTTGTGAGACTTTGAAATAAAATCTAACGCCAGTTTTCGTCTTTTGTTTTATTTATCATTACTATTAGGGCAATGTTCAATTGAGTTCAACTTTTGTTTTTGCATTATTTCGCTCCGCGATCAGTCCATAAAATACAATACAATACTTTATTTACCCACGCTACATCTAGGAGTGATAAAAACTCGCCTAGGAAAATTTCGCTAATCTCTCAACCAATCAGCAGCAAAACTAAAACTAATCACGACTTGTTCCCTTGCGTTTTCCCGCGCTTTTTGTAAGACCTTGTATCAGGAGAAAAGATGTAAACCACAACAACAATAGCTTGGGACTCTCTTCCAGCGACTCTTAGAGCTTAGAATAAACTTTTAAAGATAATTATGATCATAATATTAATGACAGAGCAATTTTCAATTGTGTGTCGAAAGTAATCCATAATTGCTTCTTTCTTTTTGCTCTTCTTCGCTTTGTGATTGGTCCAGAAAAGTCGTGCCAATCTCTTAACCAATCTGATGCTAAACTAAAACCAATCACGGGGTAGTTTGAGTTGATAACGTAAAATGGGTCATTAATACCAATTTACCCTGTTAGACTCTCCTATCGAAGCAACACTACAGTTTCTTTAAAAACTTTCCCCTTTTCATAAAACCAATCTTTCTTCTGCGTTTTTTGCGCTTTAGGAAGTTTGGTCGGATTTACTTTGAGGTCTCTTAAAGGTATTTTCTTTTCTTCCGATTGGTCGTTGTAATTACTCTGGTTTTGGTTTTATGGCTCTCGATTGAAAAGCGCTCTATGGCTCTTATCATCATTATTGTTAGTATTATACTACAGTTTAGGTTCAATAAATGAACAAATGCCTTAACCTTACGCCTTGAAGTGATTTACATGTGAATTCTCCATGCAAAACTATCTACACGTTATCTATATAATAACAAATCAGAATACACCAACTCATCAATCTGAGGGCGATTTCTTTTTTTCTTTTTGTTTTTTGACAAAATACCGAACTGATTCTCTTTATCAATTTAGAGAGAAAATTATGGCAGCTGGTAGGGAGAATTGAGAATCAAATCTTAGGAAATAAAAAGGTCAATGACATTTTGTAATCTCAAGTGGAAAGAAACAGTGCCATAATTTTCGCATCATAAAAATTTCACCCCATATTTCCTGTTTTCAACTTTTCAATCGTGTGTTCATTTTTACTCCTCCTTTTGGGCAAATTGCATTACCTACTAAACGCCAGGACCGTGTAAAAAAAAAAAAAGAAAGCACGCAAAATAGCGATGCAAATTTAAAAGTTCTTGTGTAAAGTAATACCAGTTTTCCTTCAAGTTTACAGGAGGAAAAGTCTTTGTCCAGGATCAGTCGCTACTCTGTCTCTTGTCTCCTTCATTCTCGTCCTCTGTCGGTTCTTTTTGCCTAAAAAAAAACATTTTTGAGTAAGGAAGATGTGAGATATGTCCAGAAATGCATGAAGTAACGGAAATGGCGAAAATTCATTAAAATCGTCAAATCCATGAACATTCACTCGCTCTAAGAAAATTTCGTCGAATCTGCCATTTTCGTTACTGCGTGCATTTCTGGACATAAGTGAAAACATTTTACGAGAGAGGAAATCACGTTTCCATCATCACTTGGCTGTTGTTATTGACTTAGCTTGTTCACCGTATTTATTAATTTATTAATAAATTAATTAGTCTTTTTATTTATTTATTCATTTATTTTTCTCAGATTGCGGTTGTTGCACGCATTGTCCAATGGCTCAAATGTTAAATATCTTACAAACTGAAATAACCCTACTGAACCATGACTAGTTAACAAACTGTCAGAATGTGCTCTTTGTGCATAACTTAAATCTTACAGTCACACAACTTTTTCTTCTCGAGCACAGGTGGATAATGTCACTTTTACAAAATTAGTCACCAGAAACAAGCTTACCTTAATTTCTGGAAGTCAAATGTCACGTTGTCTCCCATCAGCACAAACGGAGCCCATTGGCGAGGTTCGGTGAAGCCGTTGCTTCTCAACCACTTCATGGCCTGGTGAAGGGACTCACTGGCACTTTCTCCAGCAGCCAGGCGTTCGTAGAAATGATTCATGAGCTGCTCTGTTGCTTCGTCTTGTATGGCCCACGATGCCACCAACACTGAACGTGCACCAGATGCTAGGAACGCGCGAGCAATTCCAATGACTCCTTCTTGTTTGAACGTTCCACGCCCACTGTGACAACAACTAAGTACGACCAGTTTAGCACGCAGCTTAACCTTTGAAATGTCGGACATTGTCAGAAGGTAGTCTTCTTCTTGTGGAATACCGTTAGTGGCGCAATTAGGGGAAAGGGCAATCTCTCCTCTGTCGGCATGACCATGAGCAGCAAGATGTATTAGACTCACTGAATGAAGTGCGTTAAGTACCGCCTGCTTTGTTGCGTGTTTTCCTAACAAAGGCTGAACCCCCAGGAGTCGACCAACCATTTCTGCTTCCTTTCTTGCACCAGACAATGGTATCAAGTCCAGAATCTGTCCTCTGTATCGCACTTTGCCAGCCTTAGGATCACCCACTACCAGTGCACCGGTCTGACTGTGGTAGTCCGCTGGACATTCCTGGATGATCCCGAGAGTCGTCAGAGAAGGCACGATGCGGATTCTGTGGGTTTCTGATAAATATTTTCCTGCTGGCTCATCCCGTAAGGCAGCAAAAGGGACTCGGTACGAACACCTCTCAGGCACAATGATGACTTCAGGCTCTGTAAGTAAATCTTTTACAGGAGCGATAATCTGGTCATAACACAACTGAAGAATTATTTTGTTGCGTTTGCTTTCGTCACCTTGCAAAGGTGCTCGGCTCTCTTCTTGAGGAGACAAGGGAATGTCGTCACCCAGAGATCGATCTTCGCAATTCTCATTATATTTAATTCCGAAAGTGGAGGCACTCTTCTTAAAAATCTCCTCCGCATCGCAAACGAATGCAGCCATGAGGGTGTCGATTTCCATTTCGGGGCTCACTCGTAAGTCAATGTCTCCATTAGCTTTTAAGACCCACAAATGAACATGTCGTTCACAATATGAAATGTACAAAACAGCACAATTGCTCTCTTTACTCACAATGTTTTCGATCTTAGGCCGATATGTTAAATCAGTTGAGATGTGGCTCTCAGTTAAGAGCTTGTCCGCCATTAATTCTGCAAGGCCTCTAGCCCGTCGCAACTCCTCCACATTAAGAGAATCTCGCAGGCTTCCGTTAGCGCCCAGTATCTGACTGAACAACTTGTAGGGGAAATTACCGTGCTCTTCTAAGAGAGACGTTTTAAATTCATCGTTTCCTTTGAGAAAATGTCGCAACTTTTCATAAATTTCAATACTTTGACGAAGATACTGCTCTGCCTCCTCTAACTTTGATTGAGAGTTCTTTACCTGAGTAATACCGAGAAGGCTCTCAAAGTAAGTCAGATTGTCTCCAATTTTGCTACTCATCGAGCGCGCATCCTCAAAGTATTTTTCCGATTCGTCATAATTTCCAAGGGAGAAAGACACGTGTCCAAGGCCTAGATAACTACTTCCCTGTCTCTTCCTATCACCAATGCTCATGCTGATGGAAAGGCTTTTTTCGTATAGTTCTGTAGCCTTCTGGTAGTCATTGAGCGAATGATGCAGATGTGCCAGGCTTAAGTAGCAATATCCTTCAAACTCTCTGTCGCCAGTTTCTATACTGATGGCGAGTGCTTTGTCAAAATGTCTCTTGGCCGGCTTATTTTCACGAAATGCTAGGAACACATTTCCAAGGTTCCCGTACTGTGTTCCTTCTCCTTTTCTGTGGCCAATTTGTTTTGCGATGGCAAGTGCTTTCTCGTGATATTCTTTACCCTTGTGATATTCACCGAGTGATCGAAACACGATTCCAAGGTTCCCGTACTGTATTCCTTCTCCTTCCCTGTCGCCAATTTGTGTTGCGATAGCAAGTGCTTTCTCGTGATATTCCTTAGCCTTCTGATATTCACCGAGTGATCGAAACACGACTCCAAGGTTCCCGTACTGTGTTCCTTCTCCTTTCCTGTCGCCAATTTGTGTTGCGATAGCAAGTGCTTTCTCGTGATATTCTTTAGCCTTCTGATATTCACCGAGTGATTGAAATACGAGTCCAAGGTTCCCGTACAGTGTTCCTTCTCCTTCCCTGTCGCCAATTTGTGTTGCGATAGCAAGTGCTTTCTCGTGATATTCTTTACCCTTGTGATATTCACCGAGTGATCGAAACACGACTCCAAGGTTCCCGTACTGTCTTCCTTCTCCTTCCCTGTCGCCAATTTGTGTTGCGATAGCAAGTGCTTTCTCGTGATATTCTTTAGCCTTCTGATATTCACCGAGTGATCGAAACACGACTCCAAGGTTCCCGTACAGTGTTCCTTCTCCTTTCCTGTCGCCAATTTGTGTTGCGATAGCAAGTGCTTTCTCGTCATATTCTTTAGCCTTCTGATATTCACCGAGTGATTGAAACACGACTCCAAGGTTCCTGTACTGTGTTCCTTCTCCTTCCCTGTGTCCAATTTGTGTTGCGATAGCAAGTGCTTTCTCGTGATATTCTTTAGCCTTCTGGTATTCACCGAGTGATTGAAACACGACTCCAAGGTTCCCGTACTGTCTTCCTTCTCCTTTCCTGTCGCCAATTTGTGTTGCGATAGCAAGTGCTTTCTCTTGATATTCTTTAGCCTTCTGGTATTCACCGAGTGATTGAAACACGACTCCAAGGTTCCCGTACTGTCTTCCTTCTCCTTTCCTGTCGCCAATTTGTGTTGCGATAGCAAGTGCTTTCTCTTGATATTCTTTAGCCTTCTGATATTCACCGAGTGAATGAAACACGAGTCCAAGGTTCCCGTACCGTGTTCCTTCTCCTTTCCTGTCGCCAATTTGTGTTGCGATAGCAAGTGCTTTCTCGTGATATTCTTTAGCCTTCTGATATTCACCGAGTGATTGAAACACGAGTCCAAGGTTCCCGTACTGTCTTCCTTCTCCTTGCCTGTGGCCAATTTGTGTTGCAATAGTAAGTGCTTTCTCGTGATATTCTTTAGCCTTCTGATGTTCACCGAGTGAATGAAACACGAGTCCAAGGTTCCCGTACTGTGTTCCTTCTCCTTGCCTGTGGCCAATTTGTGTTGCAATAGTAAGTGCTTTCTCGTGATATTCTTTAGCCTTCTGATGTTCACCGAGTGAATGAAACACAAGTCCAAGGTTCCCGTACTGTCTTCCTTCTCCTTCCCTGTCGCCAATTTGTGTTGCGATAGCAAGTGCTTTCTCGTGATATTCTTTAGCCTTCTGATTTTCACCGAGTGAATGAAACACGAGTCCAAAGTTCCCGTACTGTCTTCCTTCTTCTTCCCTGTCGCCAATTTGTGTTGCGATAGCAAGTGCTTTCTCGTGATATTCTTTAGCCTTCTGATGTTCACCGAGTGATTGAAACACGACTCCAAGGTTCCCGTACTGTGTTCCTTCTCGTTCCCTGTCGCCAATTTGTGTTGCGATAGCAAGTGCTTTCTCGTGATATTCTTTAGCCTTCTGATGTTCACCGAGTGATTGAAACACGAGTCCAAGGCTCCCGTACTGTGTTCCTTCTCGTTCCCTGTCGCCAATTTGTGTTGCGGTAGCAAGTGCTTTCTCGTGATATTCTTTAGCCTTCTGATATTCACCGAGTGATTGAAACACGAGTCCAAGGCTCCCGTACTGTGTTTCTTCTCCTTCCCTGTCGCCAATTTGTGTTGCGATAGCAAGTGCTTTCTCGTGATATTCTTTAGCCTTCTGATATTCACCGAGTGAATAAAACACACATCCTAGACTGCCATAAGTGCATGCTTCTCCTCTTTTGTGGCCAATTGTTTTAGTGATAGCAACTACGCTTTCAAAAAGTTTCTTGGCTTCTGCAAACCTACTTGTTCGTAGATATTTGTCTCCCAGTTCAAACATTGACATTCCAGCATTGCTGAACATGTCAATAAGTTTGTTGGTGTATCTTACTGCATTTGTGTAACCAGAGATTTCGTAGTACGCATTGAATATTACGTTAGAGACATCAAGGCCGTTTATGCCAAAGTCTAAGTTGTTAAGTAAGATTACACATTCATCACACAAATTAGGGGCTTGTATACCACGATCAGTCTTCAGAAGATATGTAGCAACGTCCAAACCTATCCTGATCTTCTCTAGGATTTGACGCGTGTTATTCATCGCTCTTTTTGTGTCGAACAGAATGCCTTTCTGAAATGAAATAAGTGAAATACAGAAAACTTGAATAACTAAATTAGATGATAACATTTAGAAGCCATCTTTGTGCAACTGTTTTTATGGCAGAGCGCTCACTTTCCTTGAAAGCTTGTTGGTTTATGCGCAGCATTCCCTTTTTTCTTTTTTCCATAGCTAATGAGTTTTGCATGGAAACTGAACAATTGTTGACAAATTGTGTTGTAAAAATGTGTTAAGACATCCAATTTTGAGACTCAGCCTATCCAGGTTTAGGGTGGGGTGCCTCCGCGTCTTTACCACATTAAAAACCACTCTTTAACCAATCGTAGACCCCATCTTCACTTTTGGCAATACCGTAACAATACCGCAACAATACCGTAACAATACCGTAACAATGCCGTAACAGTATCGTAACAATACCGTAACAATACCGTAACAACCATTTAACCGCTTATCGTCCCATTTTTAAGTCCTTAATTACAAGTATTTTCTTATCCCCAAAATCCCGAAAGTATGCGACCCCATTCTAGTAAGTCTATTGAAAACCCAACCCCATAATAGTCAATGTAGTCGTGAAAATGCCATCTTATCCGCTGGCATATCCCCATTAGCCGGCTATTACTAGAATTTAACTCCCCGTTCGGTTTCGACTCCGATCAATAATGACCCGTCTCTTTGATGGAAAAACGATAGATACACAATTTCAAACTGGTCCATATTAACACTGAATCCTACTGCTGATGTTTTATCTGCGCGCAACTTATCCAGATGAAATATATCAAAAGTATTTCAGATTTAAAACTTCGTTTTTTGAATTCATTGAGTGAATAGTTTAATTTGTGTCACAGAACTTTACTGTATTATTTTTTTCAACCGCCGCATAGGCTCACTTTGGGCAGACATGCAATGAAATTTATTTTCGACGCCTAGTATAATTTGTTGAATATCATTTCTTACGGAGGCTCTATTGGGTTTTTTGACCGCGCGAGATCTAGGCGCTAACATAGCGCGATTTTTTAAAGTGTCAACATGGAAAACAAACATGGCGGCTCGCTACGATCTCACAATTGTCATCTGAAAATGTGTGTTAAAAACAGTTTAACGCAAAAAGTTTTTATGCGATGGAATAAAGGGCTTCCAGCAACTGCACCTGTAATATTCATAGGCCTTTAAGCCTGGAGAAGAGGTTTACCGAAAAGAAAACACCAAGGGAAAGATTACCAAAAGGCGACATATGACGCGATAGATTTGAAAGTTTACGCATGCTCAGATATAGATCTACCACTACGTTATGTTTTGCGACAAAGAAAATAGGGATCTTCGAGAAAAATTTATCGCGTTTCCTTTGGTGGAATTTCCTAGGATTTGCTGGACCGTTAAACATATTTGTGTCCTTCCTAGTGCCTGTTGATAAAATAAATTCATAAGACCAAATCGGAGATGGAGGGAGACATCACAAAATTGCAAATAGCGAGGAAACTGCTTCTGTAACCCCTATTTTTTTCGGCTTTTAAATTATCGGCAGGACAAATTTCCCAAATTGTGAAAATTTTTGAGAGATTTCACCGAAGCAAATTGAAGAAAATCAAGGGCAAAGCCAAATTATCACTGGCGAGCGCCTCCCTTCTTGCAGCCTTAGCTTAATAACGAAAATCATTTTGATAATATTTACTACAGCAAACACTAGTCCGAGCCTTATTCATCGCCCCTTTGATGGCTTTTAGTGACCTTGAAAAGCGAAAACACAAAAATTTTCTAGAAAAACATTACGCTGGCGCGCGCGCCAACATTGAGCAAAAACCCTATGGAGGCTCCTTAAACGATGGGAAAAATTTTTTTTCATATGCGACGTAACAGGCGAGTGTTTTTCCGAACTACTTTAGTTATGCCTAGAGCTTGATTCTTCCAATATTTATCTGACAGAATGATAACGTAAATTCATTCAGAAAAAGTGAAAATTAACGAGTGGCAGCCGTATAACTATATTCAGAGAAAGACATTTCACCTTTTAAAACAGTATCCTATTTGTTTGATAGATGGAACCAGAAGCAAGAAAGTGAAGGAAAAACTTAACCTGTCATTGATAAATGCAAATAAATATTCGTTCTTGTCCAAGCGTAATGAAGAAGATTGCTGCATTCGCTGAGTTTTCTTTTTTTGCGTGTGTGTTATTGTGGATCGAGACAAAGTGGAAGTTCATAAAAAACGCCAAAGAGACTAATATTCAGCCTTCTTGACCGAACATGCTTGGTCAATAAAGGATTTACTGCATGGCAAAAAAATATTTCGCTTAGACAAAACTAAAAAATTACTTATTTATCTAAAAAACTGGGAAAGAAAGCCAACTGTGTTTGTAGCACGCTAAACTTGACTGTTTTCTGCCGCTTTTGGCGACTCCATCGCCGACATTGTCCAAAAATTAAGAACTTGTTTTCTTGCTCGGGATCAAAGAGGGCGATCCCAAAAGGCAAGATGGGCCCAGGATTTGCTTCATATTGCCTGCGGGCGCTGCCAGCTATATAATTCATAGTGTTATAACAAAGTAAGGACTTGACTGATCAAAAAAAGAGAATTCAAATTGTTTAAAAGTCAAGTCTGCAATATCTCCGCTTTACACTTATCCTACAACATGCGTAGAAAAAGATTGGAACTTGTGCATTGTTATTATAGTTTTTTTTGCTCTTAAAATTTGATCTGCCTTGTTTCTTATTAACCCTTCAACTCTCAGAGGTGAATGATTTTCAAGTAGCTTCTCCTTTGCAATATCAAAGCATTAATACGCAAACAGGTGATGAGAATACAGAAACTGATCAGCTTAAGGATGTCATCTCACCCAACATCAAATTCTCTAAACCTGTTTTAAAGGAAATGTATAGGAGCAAGAAGGGAGAATTACTAATCAGATCTTGGAGTTAAGGGTTTAAGGGTGGCGTAGTCTGATATTTTTAGCTCATAGATTTGTTTATATTAAACTTTGTGGCGGAAAATCTCCCTCATTTTCTAAGATTCCTTGGATCTCTTATACTCCAAACACTTATTGAAACAAGTTTTACGTACAAAGCAATTTTTTTATTTTTATAGTAGGAAAATAACATTATTCTAATAGTTTTTTAAAGGAAATTTTTGAAAAATTATTGAAACAAGTTTTACGTACAAAGCAATTTTTTTATTTTTATAGTAGGAAAATAACATTATTCTAATAGTTTTTTAAAGCTGCTTACCTTACAAACAAACACGCAACGAGTTTAATGCGTTGATGGCGTGACATACATAAGCCAAAAGCAAAAAACTGAAATAAAACCCGAGAAAGAAAAATGAATGCAAATGACAAGAGTCACACGGGTGAAGAACAAAATATTGATTTGAACGATAAAGAAAAAAAAATCGCTGCACCTCCAAATCGTCACCAGTTTTAAGAAGGTCTCAATGGGGTAATAGCTTTTACGGCTAACGATTAATTTCTTTCTATTACAATTAAAAGAAAATTTTTTTCTGGTTAATTTTCCACGATTTTTGGTTGGAATTTGTCAATTTTTACGCTGAACAACTAATTTTCCTGCCATTTTACGGCTACCGGTCAACTCCATTTACCCCACTTAAAGATCTCCTATCACCAAATTTAGGCAAGTTTATGTCAGAAACATGTCAGGATTTAGAGAGACAGATTTTAAATGAATTAGTCTTTTTAACCTACTCACCTTTTGAAATATGTAAAGTTTCCCAGTTCAGTATCCTGATCGTTTGATGAATGAAACCAAATGAAGATACTCCCTGCAAAACAAAGATTTATGGAAATAGCCGGTGTTATGAAAAAAACCCAAAATAATACTAATAATAATAATAATAATAATAATAATAATAGCGATAATAATTACCAATGTAGACCGAGATGAGATAAATAAAATCTTTCTCTACTTCTGAGATTGTTTTTAATGTTGGATCATAAAGATTTCATTGAGTTTCGGTCCAAAATATTTCGGTTTTCAGAGACGAGAAAAGAATATTACACAAGTTCTTTCTGCTTCTTACCTTGCGAAAATAAATCCTGTCTCTTTCGCTGTTATTTATGATCGTATGACAAACGAAACCAAAATTAAGAATCTGAAAAAAAATTCCTGCAAAACAAAGATTGGAGAAAAATAACTTGGGTGAAGAGAAATTACGACCTTGGTCAATAAAATAACTATAATAATAACAATAATCAAATCCCTAAAAAAATATTATAACATCTGTTGCGTTTTTTTCCTCACTCCTGTTTCTTAAAGAAGAAACCTCTGACAGAAAAGAGAAGCCATATCACCAATGATGATACGCACGTATTTTTCACAAGATATCATCAAGATCTCATTAATAATTCTTTTCATGTCTCCCATACAGTTCTTGTGATATTAGTTTGGAGAACTTGGTATCAGATCAACTTATAATCCCTTAATTAATTGACATTTTTATTATTATTATTCTCATCACTTGTCTGCTTGATATTGCATTGATATTTTAAGGAGAAAGTCTGTCTTGATCGCTCATGGTAGTTTAAGGGTTAACCTGGTGGAAAAATTGCAAGAAGACTAAAAGCGATCTTCACCCCTTACACCAGTTTCGAAGACTTCAGAGCTGATACGAAGGTTATTGAGGGGGAAACTAACAGGGAACACGTGCTCTGCATTTTATAATAACGGCTACTGCATTTTGCTAGAATTGATCGACGCATTTTGTAATGCGCATTGCAGAAATTTGGAACTAAGTTGATCTATGTATTTTGTAATAATGGCTACAACATTTTGTAAGAATGGTCGGTCTACGCAATTTTTAACAGCAAATTAAAGCAAATTGTAATATCATAATTTCGCTTTTGCAAAAAGAGTATTATTCCACCCCCCCTTCCCAACCTATCGGGTAAGGGGGAGGGGGTTGTGGGTTTGCCTCTCCGAACCCTTACCACGTTAAAAACTACTCTTTAACCAATTGTAGACCCCTTCTTCACTTTT